GATGTAATATTTTCCCAATAATTATCACAAAACCCAAAATAAGTAAAAAAATAAGTATTTATATTTTTGTATAGGCTGTTTATTGTCAGAAAACCTGTGTTTTTAGGGTTATTAATGAAGTTCGTGTACTCAGACCAGTAATATTTGGGGTCACAAGTTTTTGCCATGGATATTTTGTGGGTCAGAAGACAAAAAGTTTGGGAACCACTGGTCTAAACTATAAGAAGCACAGACATCTAATACAACCAAACAGAGCRGTTCTTCAACTTAAAACCAAATCACTTCACATATATGTTGAGTATAGTACAGGAAACGAGGAAGTACCTGAGGCAAAACAACCAGATACTGTTGCTACATCCATCATTTTTAAGATAAGGCTCACACTTTTAACAGAAATGTGGTGCAGCTCTTAATAATTTACTTAAAATAAGCAGCTTTGAGGACAGTAGCTGATAAACTTCGGCACCCTTTCACTTCCAAGAAAGCAGTAATTTCTGATAAGACTTTTCTCCCTACAGAAGTCATTTCATTATCTTGGACCTTGTGCTTGTCGCCCACAGCCTATATGGAGATGTGAACTGTATATGGTTGGTCCTTAAGCACACCTTTGTCCTAAACAACCTGAGCAACAGATAAATTATTCAGCAACGCTGCACTTATTAGTGGTGCGAGTCAAGCTAGTGTGCTCCAGCTGTAAGTTTGCAGCCACTGTCAGCAGAAACGTCAGCTTCATGTTTACCTCTGATCAACACTTCACACGRCTGCTGACATGATTTATACATTGGTGTCATTCTGCACAGCAACATGAATAAAATACACATGTTCACACTAGATAACGTGATTCACATTATARTTTCCTTAAAATGAATCAGAATATCAGATTATTGGCTCATCASTGTGAAGGTTTGTAAAAAATGCCTCCAAAAAAAGGAAAGTAACTCACTCATGCTTTACTGTAAAACCCTTTCAGTCCTCAGTGTTTTTCAGGAGGAATAAAAACTCTCATACATTTATTTTAGAAGTCACAAATAACATTGCCTCGTTAATATTAGATCAGGGTTAGGGTTGGTGTAGTAATCAGAGCATGAACTGAGTCATGTAGCCAATAAAATAAAAAGTTGCAGCTATAACTGTGATGCTGAAACAATAACATATATTTATTATTAATGCAGCTCAAAGATTGTTGGATTCATCAGCCAATTAATGAACCTTAAAAAGGCTAGTTCAAATCTTTTGAGGTGGGGTTATATGTACACGTTATGAACAATTGCTATCTTACCTGTTGTAGATAGTTCTTTGAGCATCATTCTGACAGGACTGACGAGATAAAGGCTAGGTCAGAGACCAATTAGATTGCTGACATTTTAAAACCTCAACTTGAACACAAATTCAGTGTATTATGTTTTTCTTTAGACCTTATGCAAGTCACCAGTTCTGCATAAATGGTTATTGTAAAAAAAATAGTGCATCGTTTCTGCTGGAACACCTCAGTATCAGAGGGGCTACAGCTGCTTCTTGCACTTTCAAATAACCACAGTTTTCAATGTAAATAACCACATATTGCAATATACTGTTAATATTTATAAAAGGTGTATAAAAATGTTATTAAATGCAATGAAATGTTTGGAGATATTTTAAAATGGCAGCAACTCACTTTGGTCTTGAATACGCTTATCAATTTAGACAAAAACTTTTTTTCCAAACTGAGTGGATTCAAAGAGCTATCTACAACAGGTAAAATATTGAGCATTCATAACCTTTGCAAACTCACTTGAAAGGATCTGAACTAACACTAATTTAAAAAAAGAGTGCCATATCTCCTTCCCACCCCTACCAACAATGACACAAATAGAAAAGAGCCYGAGGGAACAGAGCTTCACAATACAGACAATAAAATTAATTGGCTCATAATGACTTTAATATTTTCCAGCTTCATTTTCTCTGTTTTGCAAATAAAGCTTCTCAACAGCTGAAGGAACAACAATGGTTATTTTATGAAATTCTGTGTGCGCACAGCCAAATTACAGCGAAAGGACTTGTAACAATTCTTAATACTTTAGTGATAAATTTATTTTATCCTTCAACCCTAACAAGGACAGGGGAGGTGAAACCACACATTGCGAGGTTAACAACTGAGAATTCACGGCCTTTATCGGGAAACCCGAACTCGCACAGGTCGTTTGAGTTGAAGTTCACGATAAACAGCACAATAATTCGCTGTAGAGGAGGAGGAGGGAGCAATGATGGTGATGTATGTTACTTTATGTTTACAGGCAACATGCTCAAAAGAAAACTCAATGAACTAAAGTTGTAGAAAGACTGGGGGAGGGCTGTTAAGAAAATAACTCCTAAGAGTCCAATACTCTTCCTAAAGATGGTGGTGACGGTTGTAAATCACTTCCTGTTTCATTATGACATTGACCCTAATCATCYCTGCTACTTTGTCCTCAGCGTTTCATGTTGCTGATTAGTCCACCTGTTTGCTATCAGTCACCCCCTCCTCGGGTCCACGTACTCCGTTTCAGTCAGCTCTTGCTAAGTTCATTGAAACAACTGCTCCAAGTTCATTTAAGTCCGAGTTCAGGTTTTCACCTCAGCTTGTTCTCCAGTTTTTTGCCTTCTTGGCTTGTCTTGACTTTGATGTTTGCTCATAATTTATTTTTTTCTCCCTTTGGTTTGTTTAACAAACTCATCTTTGGCTGAGTTCTTGTCTGTGAAGTTTGTCACTCTGACGCTCTGTTTGGTTTTGACCCCTGTTCTGCAAATAAACCTAACTGTTTGGATTATATAAGTCGGTTCTTGCCCTGCCTTTCAGGTCAGCACAAGCAAAGTTTAATTTGTGAACGAAAAGAAATGATTTTCAGTACAAGTTTTTTTATGTTTAAGCTTGCATCTGATATTCAAGCCCTGAACCTTCAGTAAAMTTAAAAATGTGTTAAAACTATGGGCTGTTGTTAGGTGGTGGTTTGACATTTTGTAAAATCAGTGTTTAAAAAAATCAGCGCTTCTTGTAAAAATAAAAGCATATYATGTTYCACTTTGCACAATTTCATGATWTAGTGGGMGTTAAAGTCAAAGTATGTGTTGTGAATGACTCTYAGCTACTACCAAATTAAATWTTGGTTTAATATTTGYTGAATTAACCAAGTTCTACCCAATATTGCGTTRGCTAATGTTGATTAGCCRTGGCAGCCATCTTGAACTGCACTAATTTCAAAAGTTGATCAGATTTAGACGTACATCCAACAGTTTATTCCTGAAAGTTTCATTAAAACCTGTCATGGTAYTCATGAGATATTTTGCTAACAGCAAACAAGGTTGAATCCTACAATTAATGCCAGATTTTTAAGCTTAGATGTTGTTTTCGATGAGTAGCATTAAGAGTATTTGCTGTGAGTTATTCTCAGCTACTACCACTGCCAACCAATAAGAAGCATAGTTTGAAGGATTTTCAGCCACAYGTGATTAAGCCCAGATTAATCCAACACGTCTATATTAGTGAAATGCATAAAGTTAGGATGTGCATTTGATGCTATGTGCATGATGTTGATACGCAGCAGCGTGTTGCCAATAATCATGTTCATAAAAGTCATAAAACAGATGGTGAGAAATGTCAGCTTTTTCTTAACAATGCTTGGAATTGTTTCAGCACAGATGGTGTTTACATGGTCATCAGCACCGTGCAGTTCATCAYTACTCTGTAAACTCCCATTAAAAATCCATTTTGGTTGTGCTAAAATTATTTAAAAATAAATAAATAAAAAAACAGGCAGATACTAACAAATTAGAGTTTCTATATTTCTCATTAAAGAAATAATGAAACACATTTAAATAAAAATATTAAAGTTATTTGATGAACATTGGGAGATTGATGTATTAAACTTTATATTCCTGAGTAAATTTTAAATCTCTGCAGACAGAGTTTCTAAAAATAGAGCAGGATTTAACTAACTTTTAATTGGCTGGATCAGCCCAAACAAATGTTTGATTTTATTTTCTATCAATTGTTTTAGTTTATGCTTCATTACTGTCCAGTCTCTGCATCACGAAGCACGTTTTGCTGTAAATCAGTGGTAAAGCAGGTCTTGTAATTGGAAGGGCATCGATCACCACGTTAAACTGTCCTTGGGGAGGACCCCAAACTCCCCACTGCCACCAATCTGCTTATGGGAGTCTGAAAACAAAAAGGAGAGCTTTACGGACATTTTCAATACAAAACAGACGCCAAGTGAATTTGTCTGAATAAAAAACTGACTGTAGAGTTCTTTGCAGAACATAGATGAGGTGAAAAGAGGAAATATGTGTCTGTTAGAACCGTTTGCTGCTTGAAATACGGGGTGAGTCAAAAGTCTCAGGACACCCTTTTATTTCAGAAACAAAAGGAAAAATTACATCTCTAAACACCCCAGCAAGTAATGGGTGTCATTTTTCTCCTTTTGTTTCTGAAGTAAAAGGGTGTCCTGAGACTTTTGACTCACCCTGTATATTGATATCAAGCAACAAAGTTTCCCCCACAAGTTGAGCCACTTCAAATACGAGCCGTGGGGTCATCACTTAGATGGTAAACAAACCGTGAGAAACATCAAACTTGGTTTTTAAGCACATTTTTTAAAAACAAAACAAAATGTCTCCAGAAATACGACAACTTTTAGCATTTCAAGTGCTTTAAACCTGTCTGGCCAAGAGACACAAGGCTTTATTTGAATAAAACCTTCCCTAAATGGTCATAAATGTATAGACTTTTACATTTGAAGCTTTAATTACTTTAAAAACCAGGATGTAAACATTATCCGCAGTTAATATGTTAAACAACAGTGCAGCGTTAGTCAGCAATACCACAGACGTGCATGTTGCAAATAAATAAAATAATTCAGGTCCTCTGCTACACATGAGCAGAAATCTGTTCTGCAGAATGAAGGCTCAAAATACATCAAATGTTAACCATGGCGTAACACAGCCTGTTATATATCTGCCATGTTTCCACTGGATGAGTCAAAGAGCTGTGAATTATATAAAGCTGTTTAACATTCTGTGTAAATGCTACAATCCTGAAATAACGCAGTAACACAAGTTTTAACGCACAGCAAATCAAATCAGGTCAAACGCTGTGAATGAAAGGAAGATTCCTGCATAACATTCCAGAAAAACTACAACAGGCCGCAGCCGTCCGAGAGCTAAAACACTGCTCTTCTTGTTCACACGTTGAGAGACGAGCTGAAGATAACCGCTGATGAAACGTCAGAGTCTGGACTCCCAAACAACAGCTGTGCTCCTGTCCCGAAGGCTCCGGCTCATCAGTAAAACACTAACTGGACCCCAGCTCRTTTCGTTTCGGTCCATGAGAAAATGTTTAACTGCAGGTCTGTTGTTGCTTTCCCCTCAAACTRCACAGCAAACATTAATCACTACCTGATGATGTTTATTTGAAAATTCAACCAGGAATTTAGTTTCATTAGAACACATGAGCAGCAACAGATACCCACAGGATAGATTTAGACTGGGAAATAAATTCAAATAGCCTGTTTTTAAGCTCTAACATGTTTAAGAGCGTTTRTGAATGTGATAGAAGTCAGGTTCCCACAGATTAATAAGGAAGCAGGAAGCTTCAAAAATGAAGGTAAATGAATCACAAATTCCCGACAGTCTAATTGGCAAGTTAAATAGTTTAATAATTATCACCAACCACACAAGGCGAAACAGCTATTATGTTTTTGTGTCTGCTTCTCAGTCTGTTTGCAAAAGATCTCCTGATAGAGATGACAGTTTACTAATAAAACTCATTTATAAACTTAGCACAAAACGTAAGGAAATGTGGGATCATTCTTTTTGTTGTAACAATGATTCTTGGCAATAAATGGTGCCACATATTTAAGGAACATGCACTTGTKGGATGAGCAGAAGGTTATTTTTCTGCAGTTTCTATTGACACTTTTGAGCTGCTGCCAAACAGGTGCCTGGTATAAGATTTATTGCCAAGAATCATTGTTACAACAAAGAAATAATCAACTAAACACATATGTCCTGCTGAGTATAGACGCTTTTGTATATAAGTCAATTGAAAATAATGGTGTAAATGACCAAAAAAAACAGAGCTGACCGCTTATTTTGAACACTGGAAAATAGTTGAACCAATAACAAGTGCATTAGAAACTAAAAAACTCCATTACAAAGCACAAAATTGGTTAAAAGCCTGTGATATTGAGCTAAAATTTAATGTGGTAGTAGTTATAGGTTGTCTTCAACCCAAACTCTGAGCACAATCTCACAAAATCTCGTAATTTCTCGCGAGATCGCACCATTAACGCGCTTTGATCGAAAAATCTTTAATTCTGTCCCCTCTTAAATTAAAAATAATTTAGTATAAAAGTCTGGCATCATAAGCTGGCGGGCACTATGCATCCTTTGAAGGAATGCTGTGGAATTTTAAATATTCAWCCGAGCGTGTTTAAACAGTGAGTGCTCTGCTAAGCAAAAAATAATATTAAAAAATATTTATGAGAAAATATAAACATGAAAACAGTGGAGCTCAGTACATTTACAGCTACCAGACCGAACGTTTCTGGTAACTTTTACCTTTCTTTCAATAATTGTCAGCAGAGACATAAAAGTAATTTAAAAAACAGGTAATTTCCACCATAACCAGGGATTTCAGCTAAAAACAAGTAAGCAACATTCAGGAGCTCTCGGTAAATGTCGGAATATTGAGCTTCCTAGGAAAAGTACACGCGCTGGGATGAAAAGAAGCACTAAAACAACTAATAAAGCAGTCGACCAACTATGAGAGCTGATCACAAACAGCGGCAGTGAGGACACAAGTGAAGACAAAGTGACAGCATACCTGAACGAGTGTCCACAAATAAAAACCCGGTCTGAAGTTTAATCATCGGTCCCATCATGTTTTATWAGAAGAAAAAAAATGAAACTAGCTTAGCTCAACTAGCGCTGAACGACTGCGTTAAATTGCACAACAAGTTATTAACGTGGTGTTATTAATCACCGGTGTGCTTCCTGATGTCCGCAGTGACGCTCCAGATTTATCCACAACTCTTAAATGAAATAAGAAATCCCCCGGGTGCGCGCGAGCTGCTCGKTTAATGCTCCAGGTATGTCAGAGTGGTCCAACATCCTCGGCTGGTCGCGGCTCGTAAACAGGACCGGGCGGCTGGGAGCACAGAAAGTAGGTCAGCTGGTAGCTCAATACTAACGACGACAGAGGTCTGAGTAACAACAGCCGAGAGGAACCTGCGCTGACAGGCATTAAGAGGCCAGGTTGTAATCTTAAACACAAGCTTTATGCGTAAATAACAGCCTTCAAATATGCACCGAATAACCCACATATGATGAACTCGGGAACCCTGAATGGTACAGTCTCAGGAGGAGGGGGGTCCTCTGGCAAAAGTAGGACTCACTAATGTTAGGCAAGGTTCACGTTTTTTTTTATTTATTTATAAATATCACATTAAAAAAGCTTGCTTCTAAAGCTGAAGCAGACTGGTCTATTTAGTGCTTTTAAGATGATACCATTAATTCACACGAGAGGGTCAGTATGAAACATGCCCATCAGCAAAACAAGACGTTTTTTTTTTTTTTTTTGTTTTCCCCACGCATTTCCTCTAGGTGTGTGTTTAACAACTTCCTGGTTGTTTTGTTTTTCTCTCTCTGACGAAGTCCCAAATGTAGGTCAACTGTCTGCATGACTTATTGGATTCAAATATTTTGCCTSTGTGTAATCATTACACAAGTGGATAGTCAAAGGTTGAGAGCCTTTAAGAAAATCTGTTTACTTTGGGTTAAGAAGGGCAACTTCTGCCTGTAAAACAACTCTTGAGTGTTTAATTGACACAATTATAGGCAGATTTAGTTTTCGCTTTATATCATTAGGATTGGTAGGATGACTGTGCAGCATTTAAAGTTCACACAGGAGGAAATTTTGATTTATGATAAAGCAGGATGTTTTTTTTCTCGGTGTGGGTAACTTTTAGCAAAATATTTAATGAACAATTGGAGGGATTTAATTGAAACTTTCAAAAAAGAATCACTGACTGTACATTAATAACTAATTACCTTTTGTAGTCACCTAACCACCASAGCTAATCAACATTAACCAGCACAAAAATGGCTCTAACTAGGTATTGATCAGTGCAATATTTTCAATTCAACATCAATTCAGAAAATCCTATTMGATCCACAACTTTTATTGTGCTAATGCTTTTTATTTGAAGATATTTTGTTTCTCCAAAATGTTAATGAATACCATTTCTATTTATATGGGAAAGAAAACAAATGTCTAAAAATTATCCACAATCACTGTAATGATTTGTGTACTTATTATTATAAAATTGATACTGAAGCACTTAATGCAATATCAAATCGAACTAAACGGTGACACAAAAATATGTAAATCAAATTTAATTGTGAGGTTTTTTAACAATATTCAGAACATATGCTCGAAGCGTAACAGCTTGTGTGAAATATTTTCAAGGTTTGATCAAAACGACAACAGCTTTGATGTTTCTCAGATATAAGACGACCTTAGTCTAAAACTCTTGCATGAAAGGTGGCGGGTGGTATGCATTCCTTTTTTAATAAACAGTATGCTTTAAGCATATATTGAATGTTTTAAAATAAAACCAATGATTAGGGTTGGGCAAAATTTGCTAACAAATTGATCATGATTAATTGTGGCATTTAGCCGATAACAAATAAAATGACAGCTAATAGATGACATATGCACTTGCATGTAACGTTGTGGCCTTTGTTTGCATTTTCTGGCTTTTCTCGTGCTCTGGTTTATGTCGGTGTTTCAGATGATCGTTGGGTTAGTGTTAGCATTAGTTGCCTTCCACCATTGGACTTACAAGCACACCTGATAGTGACGGAGTGACGCACACAGAAATACGTCATCACATCACACTGATTTCATTGTTTTTCTGATGGTTAATTGAACACGAAATTTTGCCCAACTCTCCCAATGATTACTTTTCCACGAGTTAATTTGCCGTGTCAGTAAATAACTTTACACGTTTCTGATTTTTTTATTTTATTTTGCAGTTGTTTTTATACTTGTGATTGTGAAGCTCATCCAGGGCTTTATTGTTACCTAGTGATGATTGGATCATTTTTCTATTTTTGACCTACAATAAATTAACCAAAAACGTTACAGTAAAACTTATGTGTGAGACTGCAGGTCTTGCATGGTCATCGTGACAATGATTTAATGTTCAACAAGTTTATTGTTTATCATTTTACTGAAGTAGTTCAGTGTGCTATTATTTTTATTATAAGCTCATTATCACACATTACACTTCCCTCTGTTGAGTATTAACATAGTTTTGTCTGATGAGTTTCTGGCAACAGATCAATACCTTGTTTGTAATGGTCAGACATCAGGGCTGTGTGTTGAAAACTCTACTTCTGGATTTTAACATGCTGCTTTATGAAGACCTGTCGTCTGACTGAAGAGTTCCCATATCATGAAAGTACTAACACACTTTGAGTCCATGATACGAAGCATTAAAGTTATAGTTCAGAGCTTTTAAAGTGGGGTTCTGTGAAAAGGTTAAGAACAGTTAATATCTTACCTGTTATAGATAGTGCTTCGGTTTGAACAAATAGGTTTCCTCACCTTCACAATAAGACCCTACATTCTGGTGTGAACTATGACTGTAAGCATTCGCTACAATGCCACTTCAAATAATATGAGCTCTTATTTGGTTCAATGATGAATGACAGCAAGTAAAACAATGTGTCAAAAACAACATGATTAAATAAACTAAACCACAAGGAAATGTGGCCCACGAGAGCTTTAAACATGCATTAATGTCTTCAAATAAGCATACTTGCTTTAAGGCTATCATTGACCATAAACTGCACCTCCCATAATGCATGTAGATGTAGATTATCCAAATGACAACCCAACGCAAGACGGAGGTAACATGGTTCAAAAGTAGCYRGCAGCCAGARAARTTTGCTGTGAAAAATCTACATTTTGCTGAAYTTCACCAGCTACTTTTGCTGCGGCCCAGTTGTACTGGGAAGTGGGAATTTCCCACTTATAAGTCGTAAATATAAACAGGAATGCCCCTCCAGTGGGAATTCCCTGTTGAGTRAAACTAAAGTGAGTAAAACTATTTTATTTGTAATTTAATAAGTATTTTTGTATTATTTTATATTTAACATTTAGCCAGTTGTTTATTATTTATTTCCTTTATTTAACCAGGAAAGTCCCATTGAGATTAAAAACCTCTTTTTCAAGGGAGTCCTGGCCAAGAGGCAGCAAAAAGTATACATTTACATAAAAATTACACAATTAAAACACAACACAAACAATCACTAGTAAAAACATTGACAGTTCAAAGAATTTTTGTATTAGTCCTAAGTGAGTTTTCTAATTGCTTCAGTATCATCCTATAG